AATAATAATATAGTAAAGAGGGGAAGGAGGGGTAAATAAGAGAAAACACATATGTGAGGGTTGTTAAGAATTAGGAGGGTTGTTATGAATTTTTTTTAGTTAGTTAGGTCTTTTTGAGTTACGGGCTCTTTCAAACTGAGTTCTAAACTGTTAGTTTAAACCGTTCAATAACCAATAACCAAACCAAATGGGTCAAAATTACTTGACATAGCCGGTTTGGATTGGTAGTACGGTCGTATTAGCAAAATTGCAGAAGTGAAGAACAAATATCTATACCTAATGCATGCCTCATTTTCTTTGGTATTTGCTTCATTTGAGTTTTGTATAATTGTCTTACTTTTCGAGTAACAGTTAGCCAAAGTACTAATACGTTAAACTGCTCAAACCTGTTGTTGAAAGCTGATCATCGAGCATGACAAAAGGTTTTGAAGTTCTCTCAAAAATTTGCACTCTTAAGTTATGTAAAGAAAGATATAATAGCCTTAAGGATACCTATTGGGTTGAGAGAGTTGTTTGAAGCATGGGAATCTTCTTCAGATTTCCAATGATAAGGTAAGGTAGATATAGTTCTTCATGTTTTGTCTCTTTCAATTATTGCTAAAATACAATAACACATAATTGAAACATGAAGAATTTTCTTATCTTTGGTCATATATTTATGCTCGAAGAAAACAAATGAAAATTTATTGGACTTGTATAACCGAATATAAAGATGTCTTTCTATGTAGATAGTAGATGTCTGGCAGAAAAAAGGATGAAAACTTTCAACATAAGAAAAATTATATTTCTGCAAGAGTATGATGAAAACCAATTCAAAGAATAAGCGAAGAAAGGAGAGGAAAGCCAAATTTGGATTTGATCTACCAAAAGCAACTTCTAAGCCAAACCATATCATAGTTTTTTCCTATTATTCAACATGAAGGAGACAATTCAAGATTAGCAAATTAATCTTTCTCTTCATGTTTTTTGAATCATTTCCATTCTAAATGTAGAGAAAAATTTGTTATTCTTTTATTTGTTATTGTAAAATATTTTTTTGTATCTAACCATATGGAAATATTGTTTTCTCATAAAGATATATACATTGTACAACCAATATTTGAGCATGATTTCTT